TTTTTTGGGCATTTTGGTTATGGTTGTGATTCGGGTGGATATGATTTATAACTTAGTTTAAGAAAATTCAGCTATTGCTGAAGCTTAATATTTCTTGGAAACAATGTTTCAATCGTTTCTGTGATTGGCTCTATGTGAGTGATAAATCTGATTTCTGTGAATTTGTTCATCATGAGCCACTTAAATTGGCTCTATGTGAGTAATAAATAAAATCTAATGTCTGTGAATTTGTTCATCATCATATTATTCTCTCTTTGAGGTTTTCGCAAGCGGCATTCCAGTTGGTTAGCGCATAATGATCGAATGTGTAGCTCGTCTTTTAAAGCATTTTTTCACACAACATGATGGAATCTCGTCCGTAGTTCATATTTTTCTTGGTTTTTGTAAATCTAAATGTGTGTAGCGTTGCTTAATGTTGTTGTGGAGATAATTAGATAGTGCTTATGCTGATCATGATGATCCCTCTTGAATCCTCAGCATGATATGTTTTTCATCTTACAAGTTGTATCCTGTATTTACGAATAAGCATTTATTCGAAGATTTTCGATTTAGCTCTATATATAGTGCAGGTCTTTTTTTTTTTTTTCAAGTATTTTGCACTTTAGGATGGATTTTTCCCATTGTACTCTCATGGAAATGTAACTTGAATTTACAATATACAGGCACTGGATTTGCTACCTCGAGAATTAATCTAGGAGAATTAGAGGTTTGCCAAATAACCAAGTTCGAATTTATCTGGGGTACAGATGGGGAAAAAGGCGTTAGCTTCTACAAACCGATCTCGATACCCGAAGGCTTTTCTTGTCTCGGTCACTACTGTCAATCTAAAGAAAGGCCTTTACATGGATTTGTTCTCGTGGCTCGAGAATTCAACACACAGAGACACAGTTTAGCCCACAATTCTTACCATAAGCCACCTCTTGCGAATCCCATCGATTATTCGTTAATATGGATTTCAGACAATGATGGAGATGATGACAATTTTGACAGTTGTGGTTATTTTTGGCTGCCACAGCCACCCGAGGGTTACAAAGCGTTGGGCTTTGTCGTCACCAACAAATCCGAAAAGCCTAATCCCGACGAGGTCAAATGTGTCCGTGCCGACCTAACCGACACCTGCGAAATTTACCGCCCGGTTGTCGACGTGTACTCGAAATTCTCGAAGTTACCCCTTAGAGTCTGGAAAACGAGGCCCTTACACAGGGGAATGTTCGGGAGAGGGGTATTTGTGGGCACTTTTTACTGTGGTGACTGTTCGAGTTCCCGAGATGAGCTGGACATCGCTTGCCTGAAGAATATAGACACTAATCTACATGCAATGCCGAATTTGGATCAAATCCATGCACTAATCGTGCACTACGGCCCAACTGTATTCTTCCACCCAGACGAAACCTACCTCCCATCCTCTGTCTCTTGGTTTTTTGAAAACGGGGCCGTCTTGTATGACAAAAGCTCTTCGGTAGAACGGGCAATTGATTCGGAAGGTTCTAATCTCCCAGCCGGAGGAACAAATGATGGGGCTTATTGGATCGACTTGCCGGGGGACACCGAACGAGCGTGTTTCATCAAACGGGGCAATTTAGAGAGCGCGAAATTGTACGTGCACGTGAAGCCGGCTTTAGGAGGGACTTTTACAGATATAGCAATGTGGGTCTTCTGCCCGTTTAACGGGCCTGGAACTCTGAAAATCGGGATGATGAATATTGCACTCAGCAAGATCGGGCGCCACGTGGGCGACTGGGAGCACTTCACTCTCCGGGTGAGTAATTTCTCAAGCATGCTTTGGGCCGTGTACTTCTCGCAGCACAGCGGGGGGAAGTGGGTCGGGGCCCATGACCTGGAATTTCTCGATGGGAACAAATTTGCCGTTTACTCGTCCAGAAACGGGCACGCGAGTTTTCCTCACCCGGGGGACTACATACAGGGCTCGGCAAAGCTCGGGATTGGGGTGAGAAATGATGTTGAAAGGAGCGGCTACCGAGTTGACTCGAGCCGGAGGTATGAAATTGTGGCGGCCGAGTATTTGGGGGAAGGGGTTGTGAACGGGCCGGGCTGGCTGGATTACATGAGGAAGTGGGGCCCGACGGTGGTTTACGACTCGAGGGCGGAGCTGGACAGGATTATCAAGGTTTTCCCGACGGTGGTTAGGTGCTCGTTGCAGAGTATTTTGAACAAGCTGCCGTTGGAGTTGTACGGGGAAGATGGGCCGACGGGCCCGAAGGAGAAGAACAATTGGGTTGGTGATGAGAGGTGGTAAGGTTCTTCTTGGGTGCTGTCTGTGTTTTTTGCTGAAGAATTTTTTTTTGTTTTGGGCTTGAGCTGTAGAGGTTTCAGATGATTTTAAAGCCTTGAAGGGTTTAGTTAATTTGTGTTGTAAATGTGAATGAGTGAATGGGCTAATGGGTAGAGAGGGAATAGTGTAGTTCATTGTTTAGTGGATAGTTATACAAAATTAACTACTGGGTTTTAGCTTTAATGACAGAATAGAAATTCTTGTTTATTTTTTAAAATGATGAATGTACCTTCTTCATGTGTTGCTTGCTAGGCCATGTAAGAGATGAAGATGTAAAGTGAAGATTTATTTTTATTTTTTTAAAAAATAGGGAACATATTAAAGTTTGTGGTTAGTATCTTTCATCGCCCCTTTTGAAGGGAGAGTGGAGACACTTTCCATTTAGAATCTTGATCCTGATGAGAATATAATTCTGAACTATAGTGATGAAAGAACTTGAGGAAAAGTTGTAAGGTTTGATGGGAGTATACACATTTGAAGTTTGTGCTTCTTTTTAGAACATTATATATAATTACCACTGATATGGGATACCACACCAGGTAGAGCAAACCCAACAAACTGGTCGATTAAATCGAGCAATCTTGTTGGTCGATCAACCATAGGCAGGTCGAACGAAGATCGAATGCGAGTACAGAACAAGGAGTCTTCTGGTCGAAGAAGACATGCGGGGTTCAGTGGAGCCGCGACAGGTCAAGCTAGGACCTTGGCCAGTTGGAAAATTACCTGAAAGTATGGTTGGTCGTGCGATCGACCAAATAGACAACACTTAGGCTTAGAACAATCAACATTTTACCTCAGCAGGGTTCGAGCTGGTCGTACGATTAGACGGCCTAGTGAGAAAGACTAATGAATAAAAAGAAATGTTATTAAGATAAGGAGTCACGCGTGGATAGAGCCACGTGGCCTAATAGAATTTGGCAGATCTGACAATTCCAGTAGTATGAACGAGCATTTCGGGCAGTCCACTCAGGCATTCTTGGACAACAAGGTATAATCTCTCTCTAATAAGTGAGCGAGGTATATTCATTATCACATTGCATCCTCTATATTCTCTACATACATACAACACTTCATCTTTGACACAGTTCTAACTTAAGCAACAGAGACCGAAAAACTTTTCCGGTGTAAGAGTTTTCTCAAGTCTCAAGGACGTTCAACCAGCTAGGAGCTCAATTGTGTACCCGACATTGTTTATGGGAATTTTTTGCCGGTTTTGACTAATGAGGTAATGCTGAATACTTATTTGACGAAATAAATGAATATTGGGTAGCCTTGAAAAGTAAACCACATAAAATTGAAGATGCGGTTCACACCAAATGAACCGGGCTTCCCTACCATTACAAGTGACCCGGTCTACGAGCTATTCGACTCCCTCGATCTATCGGCTATTTAGACGGCCCATATCGCAGTGGACTTTTGGGATAGGTTTGAAAGCAAATCCAAAGAAATTTCAAAAAATAAGAACATAAATTATTAACATTTCTTTCATATGAAGTTTTTTGTCCATATGTTAGAGATAGTTTAAACCTTTGGGAATTTTGTCTGAATTTGTCAAGATTTGTCAACTCCATTCATTCAGACCTTACTAAAAATGTCACAAATAGTCCAAAACTGTTTTATTTTTATTTTTTATTATTATTATTTTGCCATAATGTGTCTTAATTTCTAAAATGATGGCTACTTGTATAGTTGGTAGATATAAATGTAAGGTTGATGATGCCATCAATTTTATGTGATGTCTTTCCCTTTTTTTTTTTCTTTTTAAAATTTCATAATTTTTTATTTATCGCGATTTAATTGTTAACCGAAATGTCATTTGTTTTTCAACTAATTAAAATGTCATAATACTCATATTATGAATTATCATACTTTTATTTACATTGTCTTTCTATAACATTTTAATATAAAAAAAAAATTAAAAAAAAAATGCATATCTATTGAAAACCTGTAGTTGTCGTAATCATGTTATTTTAAGTAGCTTGGTTGAGATAGTCGTATTTCTTCAATAAATATAGATTTTATTTATTTATTTATTTATTTTTATCACTGAATATCACGCTCTAAGCACAAAAAAAAAAAAAAAAAAAAAAAAAAAATTTATACGTATATCAACCAATTAATCTCATGTACATATTGTTATGAAAAATGCTGCAAGTACACAATAAATGTACATAGAAGTGTACATAACATTCACATAAAGTGCGGTCCACTTGATTTTTTATTTTGGTATGACTAATTTAATGTGAATGTTATGCACACTTCTATGTACAATATTATGTATCTATAGCATTTCTCGTTTGTTATTGTCTGGTTTAATTGTTGAATTTTTTTGCAGGCAAAAAGTTTAGTGTACTAAAACGTAAAAACTGATCCAAATCTTGAATATTTTCAACATTAGACATTAATTTCGGCTTTTGTTTTGTTAGTTTTTGCTTGTAAACGTCCAATTAAATAAAATATAAGTCCGTCCCACAAAATTATTGTGCCTGCGACTACTAAAAGAAGTTTGGTTGGTTTCATCTTTTGTCAATTACACTTTTTCCCCCAAAAATAAATGCATTCCGACCACCACATCTTGTAGGATTACACTTTAGACCCTTAAATGGGGCCAAGAATGAAAAACAGCATCCTAAATTAATTTTCATAAAAAAAATAATTAGAGAACTAGTGTATCATAAAATTATTACATTTGATTACGTAAATCCCCTTCTATATGCAACAATTGAGTACAAATGAAAATAAGAAAATGGCAATATTATTTTTTTTTTTTTTAAGTACTGGAAGGGAACGAGACTTGGCTGGCGTTAGATTATGATCTGACGAGGATGGGACACGCCAGTCGCATCATGTTGTAACAACAAACCCGCCCCCCTAGGAGGGCTATCAAAGCGGTGGAAACTACCCGGCCTCTTAGCCGCCAACGAGGCTATAAAATCAACCACGAAGTTCGACTCGCGATAACATGAACGAGCACAATCCTCCATGAACGACCCAACAAGTCCCGAATGGCCCGAATGAGCCCTCCATGCAGGCCATTTTTTCAACTGAATGTTAAAATTGGTCAAATTTCCAAAAAAAATAAAATAAAATAAATTGTTGTTTCACGTATAGAACTTGCATAAAAA